CGAGAAGACTCGAGCTTTCAATACCAAGTCATTTTTAAATCCCAATCCTGCCCAGGACCTTTCTCCTCGCGGATGAAAAGAACAATTTTCGAGAGAAAGGCTCGTTTTGATTAAATCTGACATGCTGCTGATAACTCCATGCTAATGTGAAATAATTAACATAATAGCCATAATTAAAAGCACGCTAACAATGCCATAAATTTATCACACAATTTTACTAGCTTTCTGCCCCTAACTGCTCTCTCATCGTTAATTAAACGTGTTGCCTTTTACAGAATGGATGTTTATACATTTCCAATATAAATAAATTCGAAGCCATCCTCTCTCCCTCTCTCTTCCTTTCCCTTTGGTCTCTCGCCATTACAAGGCACTTCTTGGCATGGGCCTTGAGTGGCGGACACCTTGTAAATAAATGAAGTTTTGAGATGCATGTACATTAAATTAATCTTTTTTCCCGCAACCCAAAGAGATCTGGAAAGGTATACAAGGATGGAAATAGAAATAACTTGGATGCGTTGGGGACCCGGATATCATCTCAGCCCTTCCCACCTCCTTTGGTGGCGGCCATCCAGGCCGAGGCTGATAATAGTTTCACACATCTGTGAAGACTGTCAAGAAAGAGCCGACTTTGGTTTTTGCGGGGTGAAGAGAGGGGTATATTCCAGATGGGCTCCATCCACGTTTTGTTTCCCCTGCAGCACAGGGAGGGTGGCTGCTCTCTGTGGGAGTCGCGCCCCTCACTGCGCTGAACGTGGTCCTTTCTCCCCGTATTGCAAGAAAAGCGCACACGCGCGCGGACGTAAAGATTTATCTCACCTCGGGCCAACGATTTATTCAAACCATTGGCATAGTCTCTGACTTAAAGGAGTCGGAAGAGGGCACCTGGGTTCGCTTGGGCCTGGCGAGGGGTAGGTGGGCCATTGCAGCCTTCCGCAGACTCTGACCGTGCCCCTTGTCCTGTGTTCACCACTTAAGAACCCAAATTGAGTTGTAATTAATTTCCCCTTCTCCGTCATAAACTGTTCCATCCACTATGTCTCCCCCACCCCCATCTCACCCCCCAGGACACACATTCTAAATCTCCCCTCCCCCAGACGTCTCAATTTCCTTCCAATCGATCCGAACTCCACTTTTCCTGTTTCCTGTTGCTAGAACCTCGGTCCGCTCCACCACCACTACCAACCCCCGCCCCCAACGGCCCCGGTCTTGGCGGCTTCCGCAGCTGGGTACCACGGACTCTGCCCGCCCCAGGAGAAACGGAGGGAGCCTCATTACATTCTCTTTGGCTGAAACGTTTCAAACATTTGAACAGGTGAGACAGCTGGCTGCCATCTTCTTTAAATCCCTCCGGGGAAGTTTGCTTGTTGTGACCCAAGTAGTCACTCTCATAGTAATTGTTTGTGCTTGTTTGTTTTCATTCTACCTCCCCAGTAACCCTCTGAGACTCAGAAAATGTTTATCCACATTTCTCTTTCCTTCCCCCCCCCACTAATATTTCCGTTCCCTCTATCACATCTTTCTTCCCCCCACAAATGTGTCCCTGTCTTTCTCTATCCGTCTCACTTCTCCCATCTCTGTCTGTTCTAAAATTTGGCGGTAACTGACGACCTGTGGGCTTTTAGCTGCAAGCTGAGATTACGCGGCAAACAGGCTTTACTCAGCCCGGAATCTAGTCGGCCTAGGACAGGACCCTGCACCTCGTCGGGCTCGGGTCCTTCCGCCCTGGCGGCGTCCCGCGGCGATGGCAGCGGGAACCTTCCTGCCTCCCACTTGGGCTGCCGCTTAGCCTCCTTCCAACAACGGGAGGTTGCGCGGCGCTACTGTCCGCCGGGAAGGAGGAAAGGGCGGCCGGCTCCTTAGCCTAGAGAGCTCGCGGGAAAATCCGCCGCCTCCGCTGGAAATCGATATTCAGCCGTTGGGCCCGCACGGGTGCAGGACGTCGGGGCCGCAGCCAGTAGGTCCCGCACGTCTCATCATTTAGCTAATCGAGTCGAAAAGTTTCTGTAAGGGCCAGACCCGGCATCAGATGGTAACACTGATTGAACAAGATATTAGCACAATAGATCGCTAACCGAGGGGAAGCGTTGCTTTTCACGCTACGCCCCGTAATTAATGGTATGAATCAATTAATTTGACTTTTATTGTGTCGAAGAATAAAAGCGCAACAAATGGAACTGGCGGCTGGGAGCTGTTCACCTCCCACCCCTTCCCCCAGGGAGGTTCCAGAGACACCGGGGAATGGACGGATTGGGCCAGGTCTTGGCCGAGGGAAGCTGAGAGGCAGAAACAGCGGCGCCGAGGGAGTCCTGAGAGCCAGCCCTGACGGGCAAAGAAATCGAAATTAGGCTCATTTGGAGGATACTTGAAGAACACTGCGGAGGGCAGCCCCTGGAGCTGTCACCCTCCCGCACGCACACACACACACACACACGCGCGCGCACGCGTCCACGCGGGCCCAGCCTCCTAGGCTGCGGTAGGGCTCCTGCTGCGGCCCGCGCCTGCCTCTGGGGCTCTACAACCGAAGCTGAGCAAAAGGAATTTGTGAATTTGCGAATTTCGCTTTCTTTTTCGTGTCCTTCCGACCTTCCTTTTGTAATTATTGGTTTACTGGGACAGTTGCAGCCGGGACCTCCGCTGCCGGGGGGATCGGTGGGCAGCCAGCTCGCCGCTCCGGTCTGTTTCGCTGGAAGCTGTCTAGGTGGTATTGTAAACGGTTCGGAGTCTGCGGGCCACAAAGCGGTGCAGCTGCGGAAATGAACCCAGATGCATTTTAGGGTCAGGTGCAATCGGGGTTTCATTTAGATACAGAAAAACCTTGGAGTTTCGTGGGCGTCTCAAGTTGGAGTAACTGCCCCAGCTTCAACCAGAAACATCCTGCGAAGTGGGGATCCAACGTGCTAGTGTTTTAACCGGGAAATTATCTAATGAAAATTAAAGTCAATCTGTGTGTCGCACTGCCTATAATGAAGAAAGTTTACGTGTGTCTAGGCTAAGGAAAGAGGGGGGTCGTAGGTGAGAGACAGACAGGGAATCAGAAGTACTACTGTCCGCCAGGAAATCTATCAGTTTCTTAGTGTCATCTGTAAATATTTCACTATTTTCTCTCGGACCATCTGCCCTTGTGCTCCTTCTGGTGAGGCCTGCATTCCCCTCGCAGGCCTCAGCGGCCAGACTGGGCTTGGGTTCCAAGAGCCCGCCACACCCGGTAGGCACTCGCGGCTCGCAAGGAGGCTGCCTAAAAATGCGGGAGGGGAAGAGGCGGCCCATCGCGGATTCACCCGGTCAGGAGCACTATTCTGAAGTGCGAGGTCCACGCGCCCCAGCAATGCAACGCACCCGGGTAGGTTTGCGCCCCCGCCAATCCCAGTTAAATGCCCACAGTCTTTCCTACCATCACTGACTTTCCTTGCCAAAGAAACTCGGTGCTCACTGGCCGCATCCTCCTCCACCTCCTCTGTTGCCGGTTTCTGAGGAAGTTAAATCTTGGAGGGTTTGTCTATGCCCTGAGGAAAAAGAATCCACGTTAGTTAGCAGCAGTGAGAGCCTAGCCCGCTGGCAAGCTCCGGGCCGGCCCCGCTCCCAGGAGGCTGGGCCTGGGCGCCTGCGAAGTCACACCACCCGCTCCCCGCGTTGTCTGCCCTCGCAACCTGGGCGCGGCGTCTAACCTAGAGGCCCGAAGCCTCTTCCCGGCCCCACTCGACTTACCCAGGCCGCTGACAATCCCGGCTCCTTCCCCAGCGCCTCATTTCCGACTTTTTCACATGCTAAGTCGTTTAACAACTCCGAGCAGCTAGTTAGGGCTTCTTTATTTATAGGTTCCCTGTTATTTTACGTCTTTTTTATTTCTCTCGGCAACTATTCTAATAGATTAATCAATAGCCATTTTCTGACCTTCGGGAACCCCAACTGATGCTGCTGCGGCCGAGCGGGGAAAAAAAAAAATATATATATATATATATATACATATAAACACGCCCACATCGAGCCTGGAAAGCGAAGGCAGGACCGGGTGGTTTGACTTTACGGGGAGGAGGAGCGTCTCCCCTCAGTAGGTGTCTCCGCCGACCAAGCACTGAGGCAGGAGGGGCTCTTAAGTCTAATTAGCAAGACAGAGCCGGGGCGCATACCTTACTCTTTAGAGCTAAAAAGAATCAAACAAAAAACAAAACAGACTACTAAGTTTTTCTTTAAAAAAATAATAATAACAACGGGATGGGAATCTTGTCCTCTGTTCTAAGCCCAGCCCTTGCCTAGGGAGCGTTGGCAAACGGGGGAGAAGGGAGAGGGGGCGGGTAGGGCAGGGCAGCGGAGCCTCGGGGTTCGGCGGACGCTCACAGGCCCACACCCTCACTCGTTCACACGCACCCATCCGCACTCACACCCACAGGCTCCCTCGACCCCCGCGCCGGGCTGCAGCCCAAGGTGGGGTCTCGGGGCGGACCGGGGCGCCCTCGGGCCCCGCGGGATGCTGGCGCACGGTGCGGCGCAGAGTTGCGCGTCCCTCGTCCCTTTGTTGAGAATTCTCTCAACCAACTTGAGTTTGGCCGGCTCGGCGGCGGCCCTGACGTCACGCACGGTCACGTGGCCCCGCCTCCCGCTGGATCTTTAAGTAGAAAGTAATCTATCAGGCCAGTCCTTAAAACGCGACTTTCGACTACGGGGGCTTCAGCGTCCCTGACATCCCCTCCCCCCGTTGCCCCTGCCCGCGCCCTCCCGAGCTGCTCGGCGCCCGGCGTCCCGCGCCCGCCAGCACTGCTCCTGCTCCCCACGCCCGGGCCAGGGGCAGAGGAAGGCGGGCGAAGTGAGGGGGCGCGGCGTGGAGAAGCCGCCGGGGCTGGCAGCGGCAGCGAGCGCCTAGTACCGAGCGCCAGGGACAGCTGGAGTTTGCAGAGCGCTGCCACTGGGGGCGGACGGCAGAGCCCGCTCCGCGCGATGCCGGGCCGCCGAGTGTGAGCCAAGCCCGGAGGGCCCCGAACCACCTACGCCCCCCTCCCCTCTCCCAATCCCCCATCTTTCGGGGGCGCCCAAAACCCCTTTTCTGAGGTTGGCGACAGCCCCTGAAGACGCCCATCGCGCACCGCTCCTTCCCCGCCGCCGCCACCAACCCCGAGGAGGGATGACCCTCTCCGGCGGCGGCAGCGCCAGCGACATGTCCGGCCAGACGGTGCTGACGGCCGAGGACGTGGACATCGATGTGGTGGGCGAGGGCGATGACGGGCTGGAGGAGAAGGACAGCGACGCGGGCTGCGATAGCCCCGCGGGGCCGCCCGAGCTGCGCCTGGACGAGGCGGACGAGGTGACGCTGGCGGCCCCCCACCATGGGCAGCCTCAGCCGCCGCACCAGCAGCCCCTGGCACTGCCCAAGGAGGCCGCTGGAGCCGGGGCCGGGCCAGGGGGCGAGGCGGGCGCGTCCGAGGCCGACGGCTGCAAGGGCGGCGTTGGCGGCGAGGAGAGCGGCGGGAGCGGTGGCGGGCCTGGCTCGGGCAGCGGTGCGGCGGGAGGCCTGGCTCCGAACAAGCCCAAGAACAGCCTGGTGAAGCCGCCCTACTCGTACATCGCGCTCATCACTATGGCTATCCTGCAGAGCCCGCAGAAGAAGCTGACCCTGAGTGGCATCTGCGAGTTCATCAGCAACCGCTTCCCCTACTACCGGGAGAAGTTCCCCGCCTGGCAGAACAGCATCCGCCACAATCTCTCGCTCAACGACTGCTTCGTCAAGATCCCCCGTGAACCGGGCAACCCGGGGAAGGGCAACTACTGGACCCTGGACCCCCAGTCCGAGGACATGTTCGACAACGGCAGCTTCCTGCGGCGCCGGAAACGCTTCAAGCGCCACCAGCAGGAGCACCTGCGTGAGCAGACGGCGCTCATGATGCAGAGCTTCGGCGCCTACAGCCTGGCGGCGGCGGCCGGCGCCGCGGGGCCCTACGGTCGCCCCTACGGCCTGCACCCTGCAGCCGCGGCTGGCGCCTACTCGCACCCTGCTGCTGCGGCAGCCGCGGCGGCGGCCGCGGCGCTCCAGTACCCGTACGCTCTGCCGCCGGTGGCACCCGTGCTGCCGCCCGCCGTGCCGCTGCTGCCCTCGGGCGAGTTGGGCCGCAAAGCGGCCGCGTTCGGCTCGCAGCTCGGCCCGGGCCTGCAGCTGCAGCTCAACAGTTTGGGCGCCGCCGCGGCCGCCGCGGGCACGGCGGGCGCCGCTGGCACCACGGCGTCGCTCATTAAGTCCGAGCCGAGTGCGCGACCGTCGTTCAGCATCGAGAACATCATCGGTGGGGGCCCCGCGGCGCCCGGGGGCTCGGCTGGGGGCGCCGGGGTAACTGGGGGCACCGGGGGTAGCGGGGGCGGCGGGGCGGCGCAGTCCTTTCTGCGGCCGCCCGGGACCGTGCAGTCAGCAGCGCTCATAGCCACGCATCAGCCTCTCTCGCTGAGTCGGACGACGGCGACCATCGCGCCCATCCTGAGCGTGCCGCTCTCTGGACAGTTTCTGCAGCCTGCAGCCTCGGCCGCCGCCGCTGCCGCCGCCGCAGCGCAGGCCAAGTGGCCCGCTCAATAGGGACGTGCCGGTGGCCGGGATGCTGGGCCCGGCGGCGGCCTCGAGCGTCGGCTGCATTTGCAAGCTGCGCGCCCCGCCCCGCTCCTGGCCCCCCTGCCCAATCCTGGACTTTGCCTCTCTTCCATTTCCTCTCTCCAACTCGTCGACACCGACTTTCGGCGGCCTCCACCCGGTCCTGCATACCTAGGCTGGCGGAGCAAACTCTCACCGCGCACCCGCGGGGAATAGCTTTCCGTACAGGTAAAACCGAAAACCGAATTTCCGAAAATGTACCCCGACGGCACCTGCTCTCAGTACCTTGGGGATGGGAGGGAAATTCTTTGTATATATTTGTATAAAAATTATTGACTTTCCTTTTGGGGTTTTTATTTTTTTAAGAAAAAAACAAATTCAGTAGATTTAGAGCTCTGAACTTTCATTTTTTCTGAAGGTTCACTCTCCGCAGTTTTATGTGAGAAAAAAATGTATAGAGATGTTGGGAGATTTTAAATATTAAAAAATTTTCACAAGGCGAAAAGTGTCATTCTATTATAAAAGTCTGTTTATATATGAATGAATATATATGGTATTCTAAATGTTATTCCATCGTGTTGTACACAACTTTGTAAATAAAATTTTTAAAGGCTCAGCCTAGTGTTTTATTTAGGTGTCTGAGATAAATGACAAGATTTTAGAACAGTATTTGCATTTTATTTTTCCCAGATATTAGAGGAGTTTCAAGGAATGACCTTTTCAAACTTTGCTAATTCATAATTTGGGTGTAAGAAATTTTAATTGGAGAAAGAATATACCTAATTTAAATTGTATTAATATTTTCTTTTAGTTTTCATATAAAATCGGGATGTTGGTGGTGATCTCCTTCCTATCAATTCATTAAATCAAAATGACTAGATATTTCTGAAGATAAAGTAAGCTGCCATTTAAAAAACCAACCTAATTCTAAACATCAGCACAATTTAAATATTTTTTAAATACAAGACTTTATCTTTCACAATGAAAACTTCTCAAATGAGAGTTCTTAGTCGTTTCAATTATCCTTTCAAAAGAATGTTAATTCCAAACATCTCCCTCATTTTAGCATTTAAAGCCTTGATTTTTCAAACTGTTTATTTTCATCCCCTAAGTGGAAATGGTAATAAACCCAATTAACTTTTTAAATATATGTATGGCATTTTAAATTTTGCAGTGGAGTTGTATTACCTATATTAACCTGATAGATGATACATAGTTGTTTTATTCTTTCATAATATTTTCAAATAAGGTACCTGTTTTCTATGATAGTAGTCCACAACATAATTTGGATTTCTGAAGGATTCCTGTAGATGCCTCCTCCAACCCGCAGCTTTTCCGAAGGCCAAGAAATAGTGGCCTTAATATCCTTTGAAAAACAGATGCACATCACCCCGTTTTTTAACCTTTTTAAAAATACCTTAGGCTAGTTTAGTGTGAAATGCGAGATCACAGAGCAGGAATGGGGAGATGTCCTTGCGGATTATTTTTAATGTGCATTTCAGCTGTTGCAACCTTAAGTATTAAGGTAGAAATGAAACATCTAGACGCGGGAAGCCGGTTCCCATCACCAATAACATATCCTCAAATGGCATCAATTCTAATTATTTCTTAATTAATTTAGCTGTTACAATTACGTATGCGAAATCACTTTTTTAAACTGGAGCGGATAGCAGTACTGAGGCTCGGCCCTATGCGCGTGCTGTTTGCAAAACACCGCCAGTCCCTGGCGCTGGCGTCCACCTTGCCTCCCTGGTCGCGGAGATGCCTCCCGGCTGCTGATCCCAGCCTTTTTTCCCTGCTGTCGGTGTGGGCTAGGGAGTCGCTTTAAAAGACCCTTCTTCGCAAAAACCGAACCGGTCTTCCTGGTAAACAGTAAACATTATTGTGTCCTGAGTAAACATTCCTTCTGGATCAGAGTCCTAAAATAAAACAAGCTGCCTGGGGTGAGATCGTTTAACTTGATAAACAAGAACTTGATAATCAACCGCCACCGAGAGGAGCAACAGTTACCTTCACGGAGAAGAGATTATGGACCACACAGTCTCCGGGTGGGTCCCTTCTAATCTCTTTTTACAAGGAAAAATAAACGGATCTAAATTTGTTTGTGTGTTGCAGCTATAAAAGTAACAAGTTGTTTCACAGTTGTGTCTGGCTAATCGGTTTTTACACAAACAGCAAATGGTACATGATTTGTGCAAACACATAGAGGTTATTTCTAAATTTAGCTGACACCCCTGGGAAAAGGGAAAGGCAGGGCTTCTTGAATTCACTTTTAGCCTCAAGAAGCTGCTGATCCAAGGCTTCTAAATGACATTGGATAACAGGGGCCTCATTCCATCCCTGATCCTTTGTTACTTATAAAATTACTCGCTCATATTTCCGCGCATAGCAGCAATACCGGCCGAGCCTGCGCCCGCAGCGTGACACTCGGCCACAAGCTGCCGCTTGAGATTCGCAGAGCTTCCCACCCCACTCCCCCGATACATTAGGCGGTGGAGTGTAGAGGAGAGATCCTCCGGCAACTTTCCTTCCAGACACTTATCAACCTTGAACTAGAGCCTGAAGATGGTCCCCCTCCTTTATTTCTTGGAGGGTAGGAGACTCTTAGACGCAGACCCCAAACCGACCAGCGGCTGTTTAAAGTCCCGGCAGATGTCAGGGAGATAGGCCTGGCCATAGCTCAGCTGAAAAGCTCTTTTTGGTTTAAGCTTGCTAAACCACGAAAGCTTAGAACAGAAGGAAAAAATGCAAATATTGTATATAATGAACGCAAGCACTTGGGGAAGGGAGGGCTTGAAACCCACATTTGATATGAGCGGACGCGGGCAGAAGCGAGGAAAGGCACTGAAATCTTTTACACTGAGATTTAAAGACAACACGACTGATATCGGCTTTTTATTTCACTTAGGCAGATTTATTTGTAATAAAAAGAAGAAACGGGTTATTTTTTATGGGGAGGATTTTAGCTTTCGGCTACACACGAATTTAAACTGGTTTCCACTTCTTCCGGCATTCATTTCTAGAAAGTCCATCCAGTTCCAAGGCCTGTGGCCCTTAGAGTATCCCCTGGACGAAGTCCCTGAGTGGGGTCCCGGTACTCAGTCCCTCCGGGAATGGAGGGTGGATTCGGAGGTCCAGGGAAAGGCGAACGAAGGCTAGAATACACGCACGGGCTCTGCAGGGCTCTTGCTGCGATGGCGGACGTGGCCTGTAGGGGGCGACGAGCAGATGGAAAACTTCCGCGTTTTGTCTCCGAGGGTCCACTCCCAACCCTGAGAGACCTCTGCTTCCCTCCCAGGCTCTGAGCACACTGACACCCTTCCTGTGCTCATCCTCCCGTCCTGGGACACCCAGGTCGAATCTTGGAAAAACTGTTTTTCTCGGCCTCTCTCCTGGAAGGGACAAAGTCCCGAGGGAAGTTTGCCCTAAAGATTGGGAAGCAATAAAGTTTAGTGATGAGGAAACATGGACTTGGAAGCAATTAAGAGTTATGTTTGAGGTTATTTATTTTATATGGTTTATAGGAAGAGTTTTGGCAGTGAGGGGACTATGAAAGGCTGGTGTGTGTGTGTGCGCACGTTTTAACGTGGGGTCCTTGAAGAACTGTACTGAAGAGACTATAATGTGAAGGAAAGCCAGTTCCAGAGCCATGTGTCTGTTAGACACATGCTGCAAACTGCAGCATAATTAGTAAATGAACGCCTCTCTGGGAGGTGAATGGGGAGGCTGGAAGGTGTTCTCAGAGTGCCCAGGTCGCGTGGCGGTTGTGTGTGTGTCTATTTCATGGGAGGGAATGACAGGAAGCAGTGGAATGAGACATGCCTTCCAGAGGGGGGGAGGCGTCCCGATCAGGGAATGGGTACTTCCTGACTGTGACCTTGGACAAACTGCTTGGTTTCTTTCTCTCCATTCCCTTGCCTCTACAATGAGAATGAGGAGTCTCTTTGTCACTTGGGCTTGCAGGATTAGGTGAGTTGGTGTCAGTGAAAAATGTTTTATAAACTGTAGAGACCTAAGGGGATGTAAGGAGTTAATTTGTTTGTTAATGGCTTCTAGAAAGACAAACAACTCTGTTACAAACACTTGCAATGTTTGGCTTGGTTTTGAACAACTAGATTTTAGGTATAAAAAAATGGGTTTTTCTATGAGGGGTTGCATAACCTATTCCAGTCCCTTGCTATCTGAAAGGATGGAGCAAAAGAGAGTCTAATCAGAAGGGGCTTTTCAAAGGTGGGGTCTCCTCCTGGTCTTGAGTCCTTCAGCCCAGCCCTGGGCCTGAGGAGAAGCCCGTGGTGCCCACTCACTCTCAGTCCGCACCCCCTGCTCCAGAGGCCTGGCATATTTCTTTCTGGTTGAGTGGTCTACTTTGCTTTTTGCCCCTTTGCTTCCACTGCCCGAGGCAAGTGGGGAAACCTGAGCCCTCCGCTGACAGATGCCCATTAACGCAACACGCAGTCTCAGGGCGAATTAAAGGCAACCAGATCTCAGACCCGCGTAAAAGACCACCCTCCCTTTGCCTCCCTCCAACAGTTGGCATAGTTACACCCAGAGCCAACTTCTCTCTTAACCATCACTACACCCTCCCCTTGCCCTCTCAGGAATGTACCAGCCATTCTTTGCTCCCCGAGGGCAGCACCAGCCAAGGGGGGCGAGTATGCAGAACAAAATTTGGAAATAAATGTTGCAAAATCAGCGAAGGAGTCGTAGAGAGCATCACCTTATTTTTATTTCCCAATAGGGTGTCTTACATCCGAATTTTTCAAAATAAGAATTAAGTTAGTCACCTCTCTTATTTTAATATAAAACTCGTACCAAAAGCCCTCCTTTTTCAGATGATTTTGTGCTTATGCACACAGCTCCGTCCTATCAGTGGTGAGATGGGGAGGGAGAGGGAACACCTTCATTCCCTTGAGTCCTCTGGGGCTAAATTTCGGAGGCATCTTCAGAAAAACAGCCCTAGAGAGCACCCTTCCCTCTTTTCACACAGTTCCTGAAAGTTCAGTGACTTCCCCAAGGTCACTCAGCGGCCCAAGGATAAGCCATGGAAATACTCAGCGGAGGAAAAATTGTTCTCTACCCAGGAAGGATGCCCCCCTTGAGGAAAGAAAAAAAAAGCGAACAGTGGGGCAAAGAAGGTTGGGAAGAGTGGAGGAAAAAAAAAAAAAACAAGACAAACGCAGAGAAATACTGGGCCGAGCAGGACTCAGCTCGCGGAAGACCAAGACCTAGACCGTGGGTGGCCCCGCGGCCCTGGGCGCCCGATCCGCCCCAACCCGCCCGGGCCTCGCCGCTCTGCTCGCCCAGGGCTGAGCGGTTCTCCAGGGACCGACGGCTAGATCTCCTTCTTGCCTCGGGATTTGGGAGGGGAAGAATGAAGAAGGGAAATCCAGGCCCGAAGCTCCGCTCACCCCGAGGGTCAGAGGTCCAGCCTCACCGCCCGGGTGTCGGGAGTCGGCCTCCATGGGCGTGTCCACCCCCTCCCACTTCGGGTCCACCTTTGCGCCAGGCACTAGGGCTTGGCCTGCGGGACTCCAGCTCCCTCTGCCTGGGGGTGAGGCAGGGGGCCGGGGTTGGTGGGGGGAGAGAATTTGAATTGCTTAGGGAGGAAACCCA